CTTCTCGTCCTCGTCTGTATCGTGCTTTGGACGATTTCTAACAGGAATAACGTGGCCACCCCCGGCATTGTCATCTTCGGAGGGACCACCCCCAGCGTCGTTATCTTTAGTGGGGACACTCTCAACATTTTGGTTAACGGGAGGGTCGTCTGCATTGATGTGTTCATCCACGTCTGAATCGCTACCCGCTTGGTTAGCAGCGTTGCGATGGCTAGATTCACCAAATTGATTGGACAGCGCCCGAATTTGTTGGTCATGCTCTTCCTTCATCCGCTGCATAGTCATTTCCGTTTCAATCTTGAATTCCTCTTTCTGCTTGGTTAGAACATCCTCGAGAATTTTGGCAATTTGCTCGGTGTTGATCATGAATGCCTCGTGGGATTTCCCTGGGCTGGATACCGTTTTGTCAGAAGCGACTGCAGAGTTGGCATCTGATGCTTCATCATCCGAGGATAATTCCATCTGCATTCGCTGATAATCTCTTTATCTAATGGTTCCTGATCGCAACCGGGTTAGACGATGAGATATTAGTGGATCAGAACTAGAAGGTCGAGTCGATTTTCCCTTGTCAACCATATTAACCGTGACTTCTGGGGGTTCGCCACCTTGAACGACCGATCGTTTCTTACGAAGACGCTTTGGTTTGGATTTAGCCTTTCCGTTGGAGATTCTCTCGAATACCGAGACCCTCTGTGGAGCGGCATTGGGGCAGCTACACGCTGATAATACTGCCCTGATAAGTTTGACGCACGGGCAGTGAGATTCTGTTTCTCGGGTACTTCTCTTCCGAGACTTGTTCGTACCCCCAGCCCGATAATACAACTCGTCGGTCATATGACCGGAGCAACCTATCGCGTGTTGGCACGGCTTTTTAGATATAACGTCATCGTCTGACGAACACGTTTCTTTCTAAGAGCTTGCTGCCTTATTGGCGTTCTTAAGAGTCACGTATTTGGAGCTACGCTTTTGGGAGCGCGAACTCTTGACGGGCTCTTAGACTTCAATTCATCGTCCGAGGCGATCAAGTGCAGGGGTTTTCCCATTATAGGAAGGCTCTGACTTGTTGTGAGGGTGTGTGCGACCCCCAGCTCGAGTGGTTGCTCGGGGTTCAGTCACCGGACCCAAGCGTTCTTTGATCGGAACTTTGTCTCGATCCTCGTGCAAATGATCCAGGCGATCCATCATCCTCATCTTAAAATGGGACAAGTCTCCGTGGTCGTGAGGCTTCACTGGAAGTGCGGAATTCATCGAGATAAAAACAGGAGCTGTCGGAGGCTTAAACGGGACTACGGGATGTGAACCGGGTGCGAACCGAACCGAACCGCGTGCGAACCGAACCGAATCGGCTGCGAATCCACTTGGTGGCTCGGTTTTGGCCGAGCCACCCGATGGTGGTTCGCGCATTCTGGCAGTTTCGGGCACCGTTTAACATTTTGTCGACGCCGTTTCGGACTTTGGTTTCCAGAATTGGCATGGTTTCTGTGGCCTCTTGATCATCTATTTTTGCTTCAACTTCTGCGCTTCTTGTACGAGAATCCGTGCATGCATAATCAAGGCGCGGCGCTTCTGAATGCGCTCCTCGAGGGTTGAGCGGGTCCGTTTGACTTGGATCCACTCATTCACTGTTGGTTTGGAGGAGAGGTCATTTATTTGCTGCTGGGGCACTCGGTGCCTTCTGCGTTTCAGATCCGCCTCACAGCCGATCCCGTCAACAGGCTCCAAAGCCTTAGCAAGTCGGCGCGTAAGTTGTTAGTGCTGCCTTTGGCGTGCCCTCTTTGATAGGGTTGGCATTACTTCTGCAATTGACTCCTTGATGGAGGAATGGTCCAGATATGTAGATCCGGACTTGTTAGAGGTCGGAGGGGCTTTGCAAGGCGAGATTGCAACGACAACGGGGGCATTGATCTTCCTACGCTTGCGAGGGGCAGAGGATCTGGAGAATGAGGACGACAGATACTCCTCGAACTTCAGTTGGTCGAATTCGTACTCGACCACTTCTTCAACCGGGATTTGGATCCTTGGTTGTGGCACGACAGCTTCGGCAGCGAAGCTGTTGGCTCCCACTGTGATCACTAGCTTGTTTGCGTCGAAAGTTAATGTATTCATTGCGGTATTCATTACAACTTCAGTCGTTACAATAAAAACAAAAAAGATAGTCTTTTTATAAGACTCTTACACAATGAAAACAAAAATTACAACTCTCGTCAAAAACAAACGCAGGGAGATCGTTTATCGGTCTTCTGCGTGCGTGTGATCTTTGCCTGTGCCGGTGACGTTAATATCTGTGGACCGTCGCGGATCAGATCCGGTTGATAGATTAATGATCAAAGCTCTTACTTCACGAAGGAAGTAATCGCTACAGCGGTAATCTCGACCAAGCGAGATTACGGTTCTTCTCGAGATTTAAGACCAAGCTTAAATCCGGAGGAATAGGGGACAAGTTTCAGATCTCTCGAACTCCACTCTTTATGCACAGGAGATCGCCGAGATCTAGCTAACCCTCTCTGAAATTTGTGGTTATGCACTCGAGAAACCGGCAGCACCTCGCCCTTTTGATGTTCAGCCCTGGAGAAATGGGCACCCGACCTCATATTTATAAGCTTCGAAAGCGTGTATTTGGATAAGAACCAGAGATTCCTCCTTATCTTCAATTAAGAACTGATTAACCATAGTATTAGATCAGTTGGGACGCTCAGGAACCAACAAATCCCGAGAGAATCCGTGAAAATCGAAAAATCACACTTTTAGATCAAAATCTTCCGTAAGCGTCACGATGGCCTCAACCTAGGCCGAGCACAATGGTGGCTCGGCCTTGGACGAGCCCCCAAATGGCCCGCAGCCCACCATTTGGTGGTTTCGATTGCGACCACCATTCGCTGACCTGGCTTATGGCCGAACCACTGGTTCGACGAGCCAGTTTCGATTGCGACGGCCCGCCAAACGGCTTTCCTTAGTCTTCCGGATTTTGATTAGTTGCGTCGTTACGCGTATTTCGTCGTTTGTTAACTTGTACGATTGCTTTTGGTGTCGCCAATGAGTATGCGGGGTTTACTTGGTTCGCCGATTTGGTGCGCCTGTTAATGGAGCGTGCGGCAGCTTGGTAGATGGTCGGCGTGAGCACGCGGGCCCACTTGGTGAGTTGGCCGTGAGCACGCTGGCCACTTGGTTCACCGATTTGGTGGCCGATGGGCGTGCGGGACACTTGGTGGTGGCCGGTGAGCACGCGGGCCACTTGGAGCTGGCTGACGAGTGCACGGGCCACTTGGAGGTGGTCGGTGAGCGCACAGGCCATTTGGTTTGCCTTTTCGCTTCATGTGTTCGTCCGCGTCGGATAATCCTCTTAGACTTAGATAGTGACGTTCATCACCTTCTCTCTGTCTCGAGCTATGTGTGGATACCATTAGGCATTTTTAGACGCCTACAATAGTTACATGAAATTGGGATATTTTAGACTAGTTGCAGCTGTTTTGTTCACATTGCAAAAGCTTCTCCAGTAGCAACTGGCAATTTATGCAGACTGAGTGTAAATAACAATTGCAACCTCTTAAGCAACGAGAGAGAATTTCAATTTTTATAACTAAAAAAGCAAACAACTACGACAACGATCGCAATTGAAATTATAAAATTTCAAAATTGAACCAAACAACCACAACTTCAATTACATATGACAACAGTTGCCTGCAACTACCACGTACGACTGCTAGTTATATTGCAATTACAATTATAGCAAACCATACGCTCGTGTATAAGTTTGGATTTCCATAGTAGAGTATGGAATTCATTTGGTAGGGATTGTATTTGGACACAACAAACAATGTAGATATTATTTATCTTCTTTTCTTTGATATAAAGATCACTAGTTGACCAGCAATAACTACATCTTACTCTAGAAATGTTCGCCTATACATATTATGACAACGGTACATGAGAAAGGAGAATTAAAGTCTTGAATAAAAATTTATAATAAGTCAGAAGCAGAATCAGTAGCCACAATAAACTTGAAATATTGAATGCAACAGACCCCTAAGATTATAACGAAAAAGGAAGAACAACAAGAGAGAAACTCATATATTGAGGGAAATGAGCTCTGGCAAATGGTAGGATTAGAAATCTAGATTGAGAATAAGCGGAGCCTCTAAACATGTTCTAAAAAGTTGTCTAGGCGGTCGTCTAGATGTTAGTGATATCTAGACAGACTATGTATGTATTGGGTCGCCTCGGGGAGTGTGGGCTGCTTATGCAGACTACACTGCTAAACTCTTGTGCATGATTTCCACCGCTGTTGCTTCCACGCCCTCCGACCTCCTCCGTCGAATACGAACACCTACTCCACCTTCTTCAGCTATTAACAAAATCTTCTCCACCATCATTTAATTGAAAAAAGAAATCCATCTAGACTCTGCCTAGTCGTCCCACTACCAGCGCCTAGCAGCGCCAGGCTTTCTGCAACATTTCTTCTAATTATATCTTTACTTTTAACTTGAAAATATCTTTCATACTATTACGAAAACTGATCTTCACTTGATATTTTCCGTTCATTATTTTCCCAATATATGCGTGCCATCAAATCAAATTATGTATCTCTGAATTGAACACTTGTGTTAGTTACTGGACTGTGGATCAATTCTTTTATTAGGTATTGGATATGAGATAACTTTCATTTCACTGAATGGGAGAGGGATT